ATTTTTTTTATTTTACAGTGTTTTTTCAGTGTCGATGTGGCGCTTGTCTTGCCAGTGTACATGACACGAATGACGGATGTTAATAACGTTTGTGTGCGATGATATTTCTAATTTTCTGAAGAAATCATTGTCATGCGTTGTCTTACTGTGTATATGTTCTACTCACTGTAGGTATATATTTTGGAGTGACAGTGGTAGAATAGAAAGGTCAAGTTTATCGGGACACCAGCGAAGAAACGTGGTAATTGGAATTGATTTGATTCCCACAGCTTTGACAATCGACATCAACGGAGATAGGTAATTTTCATTCATAATCGACACATTCTATTTAAGATGGTCTCCGAGCAACACTAGTAAAATACATCGTTCATTTGAAAAAAAAAAGTTGAGCGTGCACTTCACGGCGACTACTGACTTTGGAAAACCGTGTGTGCCGTGCGAAAATCCATGCATGTGGACATTCCTTTATTAATCAAAACGATTCGTTTAGATTCGATATGGTGCCTTAAACTATAAATAATATAATTATTGTATTTTCGTATTTACCGCCACTTGCAGGTTGTATTACGTGGAGTCCCAGGTTTTCACGATTGCCACAGTTGACCTGAATGGCAACGGTAGACTAACTGTCTTCGAAGCTAACAGCGATGTGACTGGACTCGCTGTATTCCAGGTAATTAGCAATATTGTTGAGAAAATGCAGTGTATATACATTTTAGAATATTTAGTATTATAATTGATATTGCATCTTGATTAAAATTATGGATTCCTGTAACATATAACTAGGTATTTGCCCAATGAAAATAACAGTCTGCTTACTAGTAACAAGAACAAATAAACTATTTACATTTTATTGTTTAAAAACTATAGAAATCGGGCTGTTTAGAACTCAGAAATAGTACACTCTGGATACATGCTGACAAAGGAAGCTGGACGAAAACTGTTCCTACCCTAATTAAACATCATACTTAAAACAAGGGGCACGAGGCAACAAGAAATTGTCGTCTTAATGAGTAACAGGTCGTTCATCAAACGTTTGTGCTAACCAAAGAACTCCATTACAGTGTTGAAGTATACTATATAATGAACAACAGAAACAACAGAGCTTTCAACAATATCATTACCTTCCAGGACCACATTTACTGGACACAGCCTGCACACAACGCGATAGCACAGGTAGACATTTCAAGTGACAGTTTCAATTTTGTGAGAGCTATTTTTGTGACGAACCCGCCATCAGCCATCTTTGTATATGACAAAACAAAGCAGACGATGTCCCCTGGTAAGAACTGTTTCATTGATAAACACGCCACTGTGTTTACTGTACATGACATTATAACACTCATTTGCCTTGCGGATAATATAGCAGTAAAGTTTGTCAAGAAGATTTACAAACATAGGAATCTACTGCTCACTGTTCACTACCTACTTAAGTTGATATTTTTGTTAATTTCTCACAAATTATAATTATGATTTCAGTTTCCTATCAATGTGGCGTGAAATAATACAATACGTTTTTATGTTGTATCATTTTATTGCATATATTACTGTAATATTTATGCATTTGAATAGACACATGGACATCAACAGCATGTGCATCATTCTTTGGAGCTTTCCGCAGTTTGCAATTTCACAGAGAAAGTGAATATAATCGTTATCAGATCATGAAACAACAAATATTTGATTGTTGCTTGAATCGATAAACTTTTTGATACATCTGACATCACGTGTTGGTCAGATAGGTTAAGGCCCATACGTCTTTCATTCAATGATCCGATCATGTTTTTACAGCGTACTTGATTGTTGATGTTGATTACTAACCAATAGTTTGTTTTTGTGTTTTTGAGTTAATTCAAATTCACAATTATTATTTGTTTTTGTTTCGGTATAAAACTATTATTACATTAAAACAGAAGAACTCATCGTAACTTACTCGATTCAGCAAATAAGAGTAGTTTACGTTACACTATAGGGACGACCATGAGGGCGCTGTTCATATTGGATGCGATGACGTCATACGGGGTGGAATGACGTCACAATGGGAGGTCGTACATAGATGAGCATAAATAATGACGTCATAATGGGAATTCGTGCATAAATTAGCATAAATGAGCGTCCATGGCCGTAAAGGGGTTCATTTGAATGAGGATGACGTCACAATGGGATATTGTGAATACATTTGCATACATAAAATAGATTTGAATACGAGGTCGTGTCGAGGTCATCGTGAATACATTTGCATAAATTACCATCATTTTTTTTTTTTAATAATTTTTTTTTTTTTTTAATTGAACAGGCGTGGACGAAAGATTTTCCAGAATGTGTTGTAGAGGGCGCTCTCTCTCCCACACACACACACTAATCAATACACGTCATTTTGAAAACTAACGGAGTTTATTACATTTATTGCACAAAAGAAGTAAACAAGAATGAAATGACATGGAGTATATATTTATGGCATGGAGTTTTTTAATTTTAATTTTTTTTAACGTAACAAAAAAACATACGATGCGAGTAAGGAATATAGTTGCGTAGTGTATAAATGTTTAGCGTGATTAAATATTTCTTAATACCTCGAAAAATACGTAGATACATGTAAATGTGTGGCGTGGTTAAATTTATATTTAACGCCACGAAAAATACGAGTACATAAACGATTCGATTAAAAACACGAAAGAGTAAAAAGTCAACAGTGAACAATCAAAA